GCAGAAATCAGCCCCGGCCTGTCTACGGAGGGAGCGTTTTGGTGTTATTATCCAAGGAATCTGGTCTCACGCCTCCTCCGGCCGTTCCCTCCCTGCCCCTCTCCTTTGTTCATCGCCTCCGTTTAATAAATGGCCATGGGAGAAAGCAGGGCCAATTCTCCTTGGCAGCCAGCTGTGCTCAGTTGCTATGTGAGCTGCACACACAACACAGCTGCCGCTGACACTGGAGATCTCGTGGGCGGCACAGCGCTCAGATAGCATCGGAGAAGGAGTACGCTGCAGAGCCGCCGGGAACGGCATCACGTCTATAAATAACAAGGGGCGTAAGGCAATTAATTCCAGGATGTAAGCGCATGCTTAAGCCTCGGGTTACATCACGCTTTACTCTATATGGGCGTAACTTCTGGTCAAAATATGGAAATAAAACTATGCTGTTCCACGTTCTCATTTTTCCCTCTGAAAGGAACAAGCCAAATTTTACTCGCTGCTGCGGCGTCTCTCGGGCCCCCAAAGTCAGCGGAAGGATTCCAAGAGCATTACCCCGATTCGCCCTACGCTAGGTGACCCGAGGTCCCTTCTGGCCCATGGTGCCCAACACCTGCTTGGAAAGAAAGCAAGCTTTGTGCTGCCCGTTTGCAGGGTGCCTGGGCGGGAGCCCCATTGGTTTGCGCCAAGTCTTGGGCCGTTCTGGAAAAAGTCGTCTGAAAAGGCAGTTCTGTAAATCCGTGAGCTGGATCCGAGGGCATCTGAACGGCAATGAGAGGTCCGAAGACCCAAAGAGAGGTGTGGTGGGTTGGTGCATTCATGTTTATCATAGATAAGCTGTAGGAAAGCAGTGCACGATAAATGTGGGTGTAGTTTTGCAATACACTCATTACTCCTCCTCAGTTGTGCAAACAAGCTGATAGCAAGGCCAGGCCACGTCAGCTGAAGCAGGCGGCGCGTCACCACCTTCGTGGGCCTGGGCCGTGCTCTGCTGCAGGCCATGACCCAGCTCCTCTCCCAGGACGAAACAGGACAGATCCCTGCCGCTCAGCACCCAGCGCTATCGTCTGTCCTCCTCCTGGAGACGGCCAGGACTGGCTTGCACTGGGGGTTCAGTGTGCGGCCAAAGCCCCAGCAGATGTCCCTCCTCCAGCCCCAGCTATGCAGCATGGTAGCTCCTGGCAGAGGGCAGGAGCAGACATCTGGGAGCGGTAATGCCTGAAACGTCTTGGCTGAGACCCCAGGGCTTGTCCATCAGAGCCTGCAGG